ATAGATATTTTTACCACTAGAAAGCCACGTTATTTGTAAGTGCCATAGGCTATATAATAACCAGAAAAATAAAAATACTTTTTTCTGTTAGTCGGATTTGCAAAGGTGAAAAAAAATCGCTTTCCTACAAACGCTAACGAAAAAACGATGAGAGATATATGTTTGAGATATATAGAGAAAAGATAGAGTTTAATGTTGCAAAAAAAGTCAGCGACATCATTTGTCTATATTATATTAATTAATAACAAGAACAACGTCGTCGCTATACGTATAATGTCAGTTCACGATAAAATAAAATAACTGCACGTAATTTATTGCGGTTTTCACGAATATCAAATTATTCATGAGGAAAGTTTAGGTATATAGTTTTTCAAGGTTCACGGTTCACGATTGCCGATTCGGTTCCTAGAAATCAGTTCTTCTTACTAGTAAAAATAACGACGTAATACTGTTACAATACCCGTAAGTCCAAGGGGAGTCTCAGAAAGTCCTTTTCTGAGACACGTTCTTCTTTATCTATCTATCTTATTATATTATATAGATAATATTATATAGATAATATAATAAGATATAATATATAGTATATTAGTATATAAAACTGTTATTAATTAAGAAGCAGAATCGTGAAGAATTGTTATTACGAATAACTCAGAGTGATATTAACTAAGGAGGCGTACAATTAATTTTAGCATTAATAACCCATCGACATTAACTCTTAACGATAATTATGTTCTCAAAATTAAGATTGATTGCTATAATCGAAACAAAAAAGTGCTTTAGCTGAACGATATTACTACTTGATCAGATCAAGATTAAATTAGTTTGTTATAGTCAATTTTTCATTTCACAAGACCAGTCAAGTCGGAATTATGCTTAAGGAAGCGAATTACGAAAGTTACAAACTGTATTTTTAAATATGTGATACTAATTTATTTTTTATTTAAACCTCATAGTATACGTGTGTGACGCAAGTGATCGGGGAAAAAGAAAGTCTTCATATCCCAATACTTATAGTAAAACAAAGTTCGTATACTATATTAACAAAAACACAGCCTTTCTTTAAAATACAACATAACTATCCAATGACAAATGACTTGAAGCACAGAAGTTCAACATTGCATGCGATTAGAAAACCTGATTCTGAGACACCTTAATATGCAAAATGATCTGTTCAAAACGGTTCGATATTATTACGATTGGAATTTAATTCGAAACACGAAAGAAGTCTTGTATCTTATGGTCTAAGATCCCGATATACAACAACCATCACCGAGATGCTTATTTAATGAAACGTATTTTATATTTAATTTAAGATGTCAATAAATATAATCCATATGGGTTGCCTAGCAAATTTCAGTCCAGAGTATGTTTAATTAATATTTAAAAAAGATTTTTTTTTTTAAATTTGCATGTAATAAATTTTTTTAATTTTTTTCAATCAATATTTTTAATCAGGGTAGTATTATATATGTATCACTATAACTTTCTTTTTTACTAAAGATGTATATATACTTTAGTGTCACATAAAAAATATACACATAAATAATTAATTGATTAAAAACAACCTAACGTTTGCATATTCTATGGGCTTCATACTTTCGATTGGTATAGAATTTATCTAATAATCATACCGGTGAAATGTTTAAAAAAATATTTTTTTTAAATATTAATTAAAATACTCTGGACTGAAATTAGCTAGGCAACCCATATGGATTATATTTATTGACATCTTAAATTAAATATAAAATACGTTTCATTAAATAAGCATCTCGGTGAAGGTCGTTGTATATCGGGATCTTATACTATTATTAATATGTTAAAAATACATATCAGCTCACACCTAAATGTCATTTTGGGTCCTGTGGGTTTGCGAAATGCGTACTGCATAAAACTCGGAATCATGGCGAAACAATATTTTAGATAGAAGCGCAGAAAACTGATCATCTACTTACTTCCCTAAGAAAATATAAGTTAACAAGATATGTTAATGAAATTGTATGACATTTAAAAAAATAAATTGTGCGTGTACTAGGGTGTACACACGTAAGAAGTGAAACTTCTTTATGATCTTATTTTTCGAAAAATGATCTACTATATGCAACTTTACAGAAATTCGTTAAATTAGATAAAGTTTAACAATAGGCTTTTATTATCATAGACATGAATACAAATATTTCATTTTACCTTATTACTACGAAGATTATTATAGAATTTCATTAATTGTAATAGAATTATTACTATCATTGAAAAACGTGACGATTTGCTACAAAATTTCTCCCATACGTCGATAAAGAAGTTTCATTCCAACGCCGATAAAGAAGTTTGACTTCAAAAAGCAACATGGCGCGTAACCGAAAAATGTGAAGAAATTGGTGACTTCAAAGCTGGAACTGGCCACCTCAAGACAATTGTGGAAGACAGTACTGGAAGGTACACTTTGGAATATTTTAGAACTTGTCTGCCGGGTCAGATATTGCTGGAGTGACGCATCGCAACGTCTAAGAAGGTAGTATTCTCTCTTGGAAGGAGAAACTGGATATGTTACGATCACTGCAAAAAGCACTTTTAATTTGAAATTGTCTAAATGTATCTGAAATCTCAAAGCATAGTAATTTGTTTAAGCATTTATTCGAATAAACCCATATTCAAGACAGACCACCTAAGAATCGCTCTAGGCTCTTCAAATGATAATAGAGTCATTATTACAATTTGACAGCAGCCAACAACGGTGTAATTATATTTGAGATTGAATTTAAGATCTTATACAGTTATAATTGACCAGTTGTAAGAGAACCACACTTTCAAATTTTTTGTTTCAGGCTTGGACTAAAACCGTTGCGTTGTTTTATAATAGCTAATTAACTACGTTGTAAAAGAAGTATTTTATACTCTTGCAGATATGAGCTAAGCACAACTTACTGAGCATTGATTATCTAAATAAGTCTATTGATTTTGAAATACATAATATATTGATAATTGCACAGATTCGATTTTCTTTTGTTTTAACGATAATTAAACTTTTGAAAATAGAACAAATATCATTATAGCTATTTAATAATACGTTTTATGAATCTTAAATATCTTCATTAAATTAAAAATAAACAACTTTATCGTTAGATACTAAACTAATAAATAACGCGTTATTAAAATGTAAGATAGTGTATTCTGCCATAAGTCACGCGAGTGTCTAGACTCATTATAATACGCAACGTGTCTACCCCCGGTCTGGTTGCTATTAAGCCGAATTAGCATGAGCAAAAAACAGATTAAAACATTCCAATTAATTCTTAGAACATGCGTTAAAACCATTAGTAATATTTTCAATGTCTTAACTATCGAGATTATTGTAAGTAGTTTATTTATTTATTTATTAACACTTCGTTGCATGTACAGAAATATAATACAAATGACATAATTAAATGAAACGGAGTTGATACATCATTAACATCTTTTTTTATACAGAACTGTAAACTGACAGGAGGCTCATCTGATGTTAGGTGGTGACTCAATGCCAGAGGGCTCGCAAGTGCGTTGCCGGCCTTTTGAGGTATTGGTACGCTCTTTTCTTGACCCTAAGTAGAGTTGATTCGGAATAAATGCCTTAAAAATGCTCAGTTGTAGAACGATTGACGTCGTGATGATACGAACACCTGTATCCGTTGTCTCTTTATGTATCAATGTTTTAATGATTATCCGTTATCAAGTGTAGTAAAAACTTGATCAAGATAAAAGTTTCTGCTGTAAGGATACCAGGTCCTTTCAAGTTTGCGAGTATTTAAAGAAAATGAACATGGCTTTCGTCGTCTACGTCATCGGAGTTATTTGTTAGGGACAGCCGCTTCCAGACGATCATTATGTTTAGTATCTAGTGTTTATACTGCTGTATTAGTAATAATAAAATTTTAATCTTAAACAAAAACGAAATAATTTAAACAAAATATTGCTTCTACTGTCAATGGCTTAATTTATTGTTCAATGCGTCCAAATACAATTTATGCTTGCATAAATTTATGATAATTCATTCTTAATTTTTATTTTTATCGCACCCGTTTTGCAACCATTAAATTTGAATCACTTTTGTCGTTATAGTTGCCCCACATTAAGTGCCTACTAAAATTTTAATTCGACTAGTTTTTCTAGTGTTTAGATCTTAAGTAGCAAAAACGTCTAGGCAATATTATCTACGTTTATTAGTTTAACAAATTTATATGTATTATAGTTTAAAATTTATGGCACATATTTTTCTATTTAGTTTTTTATGTATTTTACATAATAGATAAGATAAATATATAGTTTGAATGGATTATAATACTAATCAAAAGTAACCCGCCGCCCACCTGCATATATTGTATCTAATAGGTAGACTTTTAGGTAGCATTCTTGCAACAATGTGGTATATTACCATCGACGCACCTAGCCTGTTTATTTATTTGGACGACGATTGATGGGTATCTGTATCGCTTACCGGTGATGGTTTACTATATTTGAGTGAAACAATTTTTTTTACCGGATTGAAGTTTACAATTATTTTACATAATTTTAAATTTAACCGACGTTTCGCGTGCTTTACAGCGTGCGTGGTCACGGTGACTGAACACAAAATCTGATGAATGTCAAAAAGTATCACAGCTGTAGAAAAGGTTGTTATTATCTGTATTTATTTCCCCGGAGTTGGTATCGACTAAAACATGGAGGGTTTTGGCAGAAATGGCTCACGGTGTCCTCTATTTTCGCGGATAGAGGACAGAGATTAGAATCCGGTAAAAAAATTGTTTCCTTTACATGTGTAAAAGTTATGTCAATAAAAGACAGTACTATATACTTGAGTGTCTTAAGGTAAGATTCAGTCCAAACTTAGCGCTAAGTATGACTTCCGTAAGTACCCAATAGTTTTTTGATATAGGTTGTGATTCCCTTTTTTTCACAGGCATTAGAAGAAAATCACATTTTCATAGATATCATTTACTAATACTTATTGAAATAATGAATACAAAACTGACTTACTGTAAACGCTGTTGCCGTCTGTGGTGCCGTTGACGGTGCCATCCGGCAGAAGCTGAAGATAGCGATTCTTGAGGAACATCTGTATTGTACGCGAGGTGCCCGTAATATGGCTTAGGTTCGCCGAGCGTTGCGCGCGCGGCTCGGGCGCCGGAGCCGCCGCGCACGAAGCTAACGCCAGCGCCGCCAGAAGCAAGCGCAGCGGGCGCGAACGCGGACGCATGGCGCGCCGCGCCCATTGCAGCCGCCCGTTCGCCGTCACTGCTCAAACTGTGCGCATAACACGCACCCGACCTCACACAATACGACCCTACGTTCTGTCTGTCATTGCATTAATCCGTCACGTGTAGCCGACCCGTAAATCTAATATTTGTGACATTGACAGTTTCGTTTTTATCTTCAGGTGTCAGTTCGTTTTGTGTATCGATGCTTGCAGCTCATGTAATACATAATGCACTAATATTGCACCACCGGTGTAGCTTACACCACAATGTGAGGTTTGCGGAATCCGTATCACAATCTGAAACAATTCAATGTTGTTATTAATAGGATTGCGGCGATAAATTGACTAAGTTTGTAATGATATATCATATGTAAATATTATTAATAGAATCATGAGGAAACGTGATAATTGTGTATTGAAAAAGCTTTTATCTGTATAGAAAATGCAAACTCATGCATAAGTTGAGCTATAATATGCAAACAAAACGGTAGAATTCTTTTACACTTGGTATTTGTTGTTTTCACGGCAAACCACGAAAATAATCAAACTCTTTTATTTCTAAACCTAACAACCGCGAACATCACTTCACAGTATCTGTTAAATGATTTGAAAATGCGATAGTAAGTTTTAAGCTCTAAAATAAAATTGCTAAAGTCCAATATCGATTTGGAGAAAATAAATGAAGATGTTTTAGGAAGCGTAGAAATTGACAGACGAAAAGCTTAAATTGGTGTTTAATTTTCCTTCCAAAAAGATATATTCTTCATTTGATTTACAAATAAATCAACTCTACTGTGATAAAGATTTTATACTATTGGAGGCTCACTTTGGGTTGCTGCGCTACCGCAGTAAGTAATATTTAATGAATTGAATTATATTTATTTTTAATCGCAGAAGAAAATATTATTTTAATGATTAAACTGTGAGATACGTTTTAAATTGCAAATACAATTGTTAGGGGTTTAAAAAAAAATGCTGCCTCAAGTAAAAAGTGAAGCATAACTGTCAGTTTCACTTGTAATTATTTTTTAATAGACAAATAAGTGATCACCTTTCTTCACCTACAATATAATACCTTTCAACTCTGCAAGTTATACGTACAGGTATTTTGTATTTAAAAACACCAGTAGCATAGCAGTAGCTTTTAGGTCTCTCAGATTTCTGTTACTATTTCGTTATCATTTTAAATGTGTTTTAAAGACTTTTATCGATACAAATAAAACATGAATCTTTCGAAATGAGTAACGTTATCTTACATCTTGGGAGTCTTTTATAACTTTACTTTCAATTCTACAAAACTTAAATTAATTACAAACTACAAAACTTTCTGCAAAGTCACTGGTGAATTAAAAGTTATCTCCCTTTGCTGTATTGGGGCCACGACTTTCGTTATTGAAAGAATTAATTCGTGCCAAAGTGCGGATTCTTTTACTCTTGATTGCTTCTGATTCATTAATCATTCAATTTCGAAATTTGTGCTGAACGTGCTTAATGCAATAGCCGTTGAATATTTTGTTGTCATATTTCTTGTGTCACTTGACAAACTTGACACTAGCCAAAACATAGTCAACTGTAAACAACTAACTTGTGTTGAAAATGGAAATAAAACTGCCAAAATAACAAACAAAAACTAACTTGTGTTTTAGAATTAAACTTTTTTAAATTCAAACTACACGCATGACACATCTGTACGGAATTGTGGAAAAGACTGCCATGATTTCTAAAATTAGATGTTTAATTTTTTGTAATTTCTATAAATTATCAATTGGCAAGTAAAAAAATTGGCATCATTTAAAAAAAAATCAAATCACTATTAACTCATCAACAAAAAACGTTTTACGTTTTTTGTAAGTACATTAATTAAGAATGAAATCATAACCATTGTTAATGAACTGGCGGACAGCCGCTAACAAGCTTCAATCTCACTCATCAATCTGTCATTCGATCCTGAATGAATTAGCGAGGAATGATTGAACGGATCATAATTGACATCTCAAACCACACGAATTAATGACCTTTCGTTTTGCTTTTTACAAATTATTAGGTCCGATAAGGTCACCGTTTTGCAACGAAACTGTTAATTCGACTTGAATTAGATACATTGTTAGTATATTGAGAAATGCAATTGCAATCGGTATAATTAATAATTAATGCAGTAAGAAGTGTTCTCAATAAATAAACAAATTGTAATCAATAAACCATTGACCTTGGTTAATAAAAACATAATAAGTTATTGAATTTCTCTTAACTCGAAGATAAGCGGGTAAGCCCGTATTTTTAGAAAATCATTCATTTCATTTTTATTTATCAATGAAAAGAAAAAGATGTTTTTATTTTTCCCATAACATCATTTTAATTTTTACGTGTAGTGTTATTTCTAGTTATAACAAACACTACACAACAAACTTAAGCGCAAAGGATGGCTAGAAATAGACAACAATAACCGCCTCTGTAAATAAAATTTCGTCATTCCAATCTTGAAAGTGACATTTAAAATATAGCCGAAATAATAAAAGTGAAATTGACTTGCCAGTTTCATAAATTCGATCATATTTTATAATCTGTCACGTTTTAATTATTATTATAGACTGTCGCTACAATATATTCTGGATGCGAGTCAATTTAACATTGTCTATTGTTTGAAATTAGAAGTGATCAAATAGATTAGTTCGTTGACCAAACTAGCTATTATTATGGAAGTTTCTTGATATATTATTACTATACATTATGTTTTCTTTTAATATTCTAAAATAAACATTTAATAAAGAAAAAGTTTTAAAAAAAATTATGTCGTTATGCCAAAGGCGTGGTAACAATACACTCTATGGTATGCTTATGCAAACACGTCATATCTTATCACGTGTCAACTCACACCTTACTCTGAACAAGTTAACACTGATTCGCATTCGTCTGAGATCAATGGGATTAGCTTAAGAGCTTAAGTATATTGAAATGTAACATGTTGTACTTTAGGTCCTAAACTAAACCCAAAACTTAGCAGATACTAACGAACACCTAAAAAACTTTCATATACATATAGTATTTTTTTTTATAAAAAATTTCTAAGAAATCGTATGAAAAAAGACAACGATATTCTTACCTATGTTATGTCCTTCTCTCGTGCACGATTAAAGTCGTAAACCTTCGAATATGAAAAGCATATCGGATCTATCTCTGAGTCTATAGGGAAATGTCAGTGCACTTGAGGTGTAAACGCATTCGATACATTTAACGGAACATGACGCAATCCGCGAGATTGTCGAGAATTTCCTTTGACAGGTGTCCTCTTTCATGAATTTAACGCGACTTAATAATGTTAAACATTTATCGTTACGAAATACATAGTATAAACATATAAATATTCTATATATATTTATTATAGAAGTACATTTTTCTTTAAGTCGCATAATTAACTTAAACGAAACTAACGAACTCCTTTAAACGCTTCTTTTGTCTATGGCCAACTGAAAACCAGATAAAGTAGCCGTTAGCCAGTACTTAAATAAGACTTTAGCAATAGTCCAAAACGGGAAATAAGACAACAGTTAAAAACAATAGGTTCCGGGAAGTTTACTTCAAAGTATTCAAACGAGTGTCGATGCTGCCAAAATGTTTGCCGAAAAAAGGTGTCATCTCAAAATATTCTAGCTTCCTAATTGCCATGGCTAATTCTGTTTATCATACGTCACAGGTCATTCACCTCCGTTATCGCGTTTCCAGTTTTTATATTTTCCATTGTATTTCTTTATGAGTTTTAAATGTTTGTTGATACGTTTTCGAATCATCTTTAAATTACTTTTAAGGAATGAATTAGTCACCTCAGTAACAAATAAGACAAGGAATTTATAGGTAAGCAGTTCCTTTCCTACAAATTTATTTTTAAATGCCAGGAATGGTCTACTGTCTATGCTCGTAGCGGTTGTAGCGGTGGTATATTTGACACAATTCGCTTACAAGTTACATATAAAAATTTCTAGACAAGCAAGTCACGAGTTTAGGATGACACGGCCACATGTATTTAAATTAAACATTCTCGCTAAACTAAACTATGCCAAATTAAATAATACGGGCTACTCGATTGTGAGGAAGTGGCATGGACCGGGTTATATCTGTTAATTATATCTATAAATTTTCGTAAGTATCTATATTTGTATAATGTCCTCATTTTAAAAAAATTATGATGTTTGAGAGCTAAAATAAAATAAAATAGTCTACCTAAATATTGTAGACTATGGGGGTTATTATTTAATAATCTTTCTTATAAGTAATTGTGATTAACATACTAAAATATCACAATAATATTTAAAATAGCATCAAGAACTCATTTTCTTTAATATTTTAACCTGCTGAGAACACTTTAAGAAAAAGACAACATTTATATTAGATTTTCTCCACTAGCTGTTGACACATCTTGCCATAAATAAGGATGATCTCTGGGTTATAGCAGAATGAAACAGAGACAATGCATAACTCTACGACGGATTTAGCATAGACCATTTTGCGAGCACGAACTATTTTAGCGCATAGTGTTGTACGCGAATTATCGATGACAGAAATTTTCATTTTTACCAAAGACTAAATATATTATTAAGTTAAATACTCCCTGTTAGAAATATTTTATTTCACAGTCTACTATAACGGGTGCCTATTAAGGGCTTCCTATCTTCAAATTTAAATAAAACAAAATTTTTTAGATATCATCAAAAATTTTTATTGTTTGAAAGGCCTATCGACCCATTATGTGTGGAATATAACATCGTTCATGTCTTTTGCGCATCCAAAATGTCCAATTTTCCATATGGTGCATAAATCAGGTGAATTTGAGATGGCATTGTTTATGGTTTTACCTTCAGTCCTGGGTAGTTGAATTTTGTACGGGTGCAGGCCCAAGTACACGCAAAATTCGCCAAGTTGTGGTCTATAAGGGATTTTGTGAGAGCGAATACTCCTGTTCTCCTGGTCTCACGAAGGTGATGTTTTGGTAGATTTGGTTTGTCAGTAGGGTGTTGGTTGATG